GGCCGAATTATCAGAAACCTACAGCTCACGTTCTCACAGAACGACACTTAGAACGCCTAGAACAAACATACTACTTGTAAAATTATCTGCTTATCGTAGACATGCAGCGTTCACCTGCATCTCGTAGGCCATGTACCGCTTGCAACTTTTGCACAATGTAAGCATGACGATGGACTGCAGCGCAGCATTCATAGCGGGCACTCACAAGACCCACTAATGCTAGAATTGAAGTTAATTTTTCAACCTATAACTGCAGCTAGCAACCGCTGACGTAGTACAAGAAAATTTTATTATTCAATTGGTTATTTTAGGAGCAATTACATCGGCGTACCCGCCGATAACCCGCGGGTTAGGTTGCGGGAATTCCAAATTGCTTGGTTATCCCCATGCAATTACCCTGTTTACAATCTACTGGCTCAGTATTCGCTCTGTGCACACTTATACACTCTCGTCAAAGTGAGAATGTGTGATCGTGTATATGCATACTGGTGGCAACGCCAATAGCGAGGAAATGTGTATGTACACGACCACATATTCTCACTTTGGTGAGACTGTATGACTGAGTGAGTGTGCACAGAGCGAACATATTTTTTAGTCGATAGCTACACAGTGAAAGGCGGAACGTTCACGAAGGAACATTACTTAAGAGGAGAAGCCCCGTCACATCCAGAACTCAATATGACGTCCGGAAAAGATCAAAACAGAACACTTACCTTCCCAGTCGACACCTTCACGATTCGTGGGCCTTCTGTACCCCGCGGGGTTCCTTTCGCCTTTGAAGAATTTATGCATTTCATGAATGCATATCAACAGTTTGGTAGGTCGATGCGAAACCTGGACACGACTTTTCTTAATGGGAAACAATGGCTCATCAACTACAGCTTCGATGCAACGAGGCGGGTAGAAGATCGCCTGCTGATAAATTGGGACTGGCTCCACCCCGTATTTTGGAGGGAGCCGCCAGGTGAAAGAGATATTGTGCGGCTGCCTACGATACTTAGGTTTGTTGAGGAAGAGCTTCGTTTTCCGAAGTGCAAAACGGTTGCCAGCGACACCTGCTTCTGCGACAACAATCCACATGAAGTGGTATCTCCTGGAAGCGAGTGCACGAACGAACTCCATTGGCATCATTTCTGCACCGCGCACGTCTCTGCGTGGTTAACCAATTATTTGGTGCCGGCGATTCTTCTTAAAGAATCTAAAGAGATGTTCCATGCGATGATTGCAAAAGTGCATCGAGACAATCCAGCCATCTTGGAATATTATTCCACGGGTGAACGTACGGACACACAATTGTTGCTTGACTCGGCTCGCAGCATAAGTGGTTCCGGCTCTAGTGCAGCTGCATCTCAATAGTGTTAAGAGTGTTGAATAGTTTTTATAAGTCTAAAGTACTGCAGATTGAAATAAATGGCTGTGTTTAATATGTCTACGTTTATTTGTTTTATTCCCATTAGTAGTGTAGAATGATGGAGAGTTGTGCAGGTAAGGTATTGAGACCGCTCCGTCTTACGTTGCTCCAAGTTCAAATTTAGTTTCCCTCATGAAAACTCTGTGTTAGATACAATATCAAGTCAAGCTTGGACGGCACTAGAGGTAACGGCTAGGTAACGTGCTACTAGGAGCTGCATAGCACGTCACACCACTATCACTTACAGTTGAGTTGCAAGGCGTGATGATAAGAGTTACGTGCACATGGGATGCAAAGCTCCGCTATCACAAACAATGCTTATCATATGTCTTGAGCAAGGCCTGAACGTGCCTTCGCTTACTGAGTACGTGCACCTGCGACGTTTGGGTGCGGAGCAGACCATACAGGAATGTGAGACGTCTACTAAATAACGTTTTTCTTAAGTTGGTTCATGAGTAGTATCTACGCATAAGCCGCAAACAGTATTACGGCAAAGAGCCGCGACAATAAACGTTCCTATACACGTAACTATACACGTAGACATAGATTTCCCGATAATACGTTGCCAGACGTGGCACACTTTAGTTTAAATATAGAACAAACCATATGCAATTGCTTAGAATATGAATAGGTAATATGTTACGAGTACGGGATCGTTATCAAACCATTGTTATTGGTTACCTTGAGACAGGTAGTCGGGCTCTGCGTCTTACGATAACCTAGGATCAGTTGGCACGAGCTACAAAATCTTGAGGAAAACCCAACGCTATATTTGATGTTATGATAAGTATTCATCTCTAATATAATAGATCTTCAGGCACAAATCACTTTCGGTTACTGAACGTTACGAACGTGCCTACGTCTTTGCTGTCTTTATTGAGCTAAGAAAAGATAAACGTAAAACAATGTCCGCACCGGCAGAAGCAAGCTGTTTCACACAATTGTTGACAGAGTTAAACGTGAAGACTTTCGAAGCCACATTCTACAATGGAAAACGGCTGAGCATCGAGTACCTTTTCCATTACGAAATTATGGGAGAAAAATGTCTGCAAGTAGGCCTCAACAGCATGGTACCACTGTTCGGAGGTATCACACCTCCCGGTATACCCCAATTCACCTATATCTCGGAGCTCTCCAATTTCCTCCGGCTCATAAACATGGATGACTGTTCATATGGTGATTACGCTTCTTGCGCGTGTCGGCTCAACATCGAACGAGCCCAAGAGCATTCCGATTACCGTTGTCAAGATAATCACTGGCATCACTACTGCTCGGGACACGTCCATCAGTGGCTGAAGTTCTACCTGGAACGTGCGATTCTGTTGGAAGAATCTCAGAAGCACTACGAGTACCGCGTGAGCGAAGTGCACGGGCCACAAACAGGCTTTTATCTTTCAATCGGCGAGATGGCAACTGCAGAATATTGGCTAAAGTGGGCTTGGACGAGTACTATGTGGCGGCGTGTATGATAAAATGTGTTTAATACATTCATACACCTTACTTATATTTAAGATTTGTCATTTCGTATTATTCTAAATATGTGTCTTTTTTTATTTTTCCTGTAATGTTAGGGTTATAGTATCACAGATACCTTACCTAGAAACTATGTAACGTGCACCGTACCTATCTATCGCTGCATAGCATGTCACTGTGCACCTACAATTCTCTTACAAAGTTTAGTGACTAGTCTTGACATTTATGAGGAGGTACACGCAAGCTTGGCATTCGTTGCTGAGCTGACATGCACTTTGAAATGAAATAATCATGTATGAGGAACGATTTTTTTTTATTTTTAAGAATAAATACTATTATAAATTATCACATATACGAGTAGGTTGTATTACTTCGGCCTGTTGGCGCGCAACGATGCCTGATGTCGTAAAGCTTCTGCATACCGCAAGAGGTGCTCCTCAAGTTTCTGCTGCTCTTCCCGCTGACGTTTCCTTTCTTCACGCTCCTTCTCTTGTCTTTTCCACTCTGCCTCTTGTTCCTTCCAACGTTCATCGGCGGCTCGACGAGCGGCTTCTCCAGATTTTCCATTATTATTGTTTCCCCACATCGTGATTATATGTTGAGGGTAAATATGCTGATTGAATGTAGAGCTCCTGGCGATTGTGTCGAGGATATATATGCTAATGATTGGTTGTATAGGTCTTTACCGCAATTTATACTAATTCGAAACGTACCTAATAAGGAATACTGGTTGGAATTCCATAACTATATCGGGAATTTCTATGTGGTTTAATTATATCTCGCTATAATGAGGATAATTAAACGCACTGACCGCATGGTGTACCGCAGTAATAATAGAAATTTTATAAAATGCAGGGAAGGAAAAATTAATTATAACTGAAAGGGGACAAATGATAGCGATAATAAATACAGTTTTATATTTTATTAAGCGAGTGATATCATAGACTGTGTTAACTTTCCCGTTAGGTTGCGCAATCATGCTCCGTATGGATAAAAATATATAGGTAATATTCAGGAGCTGCCCGTGACATGCTGAGCATGCATGGAGTCTTGCTACGTGACCTGCAGTCTTACTTGACCGTGTGATGTTCTCTGGAGGTTTGGTTACGCCAAGCTATTCCACTCATGTCCTCAGAAAAGTTTACGAAGCAAACTCGAGAGACTTGAGTTCATATTGAAACATCCATCCACACCATCGTTAGGTAATGAACACTTGAATACGTCCATAGGTGTAGCCGTGGTTTACCGTAGGTATGACGTCAAACCTTATCGGACAATGGTATATTGTTTCATTTTCCCGAACTATAATTAATTTAATAAATTCAACTGACCGGATAATATCGATTAATTAACCCCGATAACCTATTCAATTGAAGCAAGAGAAACTGAATTCAATATCGTTTAACTTTAGCGATAACGGCGTTATCGCCGTCACGGTTGGTTGCTCTAATGTTGTAGCAATATGCTGATATGGATATTGCTCCCTACGAACCAAGGTGTAACTTACAGGTTAACAGTGAAGAGTTTTTACGCCTGCATTTGCGGGGACCTCAGGTTAGGAGCTTGAATCGAAGACTCACTGTCACATAGCAAAACCTAGAACTCCTCCAACAGTCATACTTCTCCCGAGTCTACTATGCATTAAAGTCGTTTCTCCACTGCATACAATAGTATCACCCTCCCCTTCCCCTCGTACACCGTTTTTGATTTTCGCCCCGTACGCTCTTGTGCCCCCTACTGTATATGCGTACCAAATTTCATCCAAATCAATTGAGTAAGTTTTAGCGTGATTCAGTAACAAACATACAAACTATCACATTTACATTAATAGGTCTTTACTTATGAAATTGCAATATAATCGTAACAAAATACGCGGAGAACATATTTCCGAAGAACCACTCATATTTATAACTACACAATATTTAGACTCGACTATGGACGGATAGGCAAGGGCGTAGTTCTGCCTGGGCGTCGCTGGTGGAAACCATCTAGCGAAGATTATCGCTACCCTAGTCTGAAGGCTTCGTTTACCTAACCGCGTTATCCATTCTAGAACCACAAATGCTTGACAGAGGTCATTAAGTAGATTTAGTAGGACTCAATCTAAGATTATTACCAAACATGCTGTAGCAGTTCTTGAAAAAGTTGGGGGCTAGCGCGCTGGCAAGCCCCAGGAGACCTTGAGGCACTTCAGTGGACAGGAACAAGCCCAGCACAGCCAGCAGCATGCGAGTGGTCCGGTCTGTGCGGCTCGACCGGCGAGCGCATGCCTCTTCCGCTAAGCACTGCTTTTCGAGCTGCTAGAACAATGGAAAAGAAAAAAATATTACCTTTTATGTTAAAAGAGACGCAAACAAGCATACGGCTTGATGGTAAGCGGCCACCATAACCTAGAGCTTGCGATACAAAGAATATCACTCGCGCCGTTGCCTACCCCGACCCAGTGGAGACCAGTACCCCTAGCACGAACCAATATCGAATTCGTATCGTTTGCGATTCCGAAATGTCATTGTCAAATGTGTACTGATTTTTAGTTCTCGTTACGTACTTTGTGCCGCTGCTGTTCAAATTTCCATACAAAATTTGACATTGACATTTCGGTTTGCAAACTATTCGAATTCGATAATGGTTCGTGCTAAGGGTACTGGACCCTTACTCACCGACAGAAACACAACACCACCAAAACGTAGTGTTATTTTACTGTGGTCTTATGTAAGGTGGAGGTTACTTCCCCAGACAGGCGGTCCAATCCGAGTGAAAAATCCGTTGGCTCCTACTTCTCTGAAACATTTTTGTTTTTGGTAAATTGGGATGGTGAATAAGCATATGGTCTGACACAATCAGGTGTACAAGCTGCCACTCTGCTCGGGTAGAAGTGAGACATGGTCATTTCCCCATCATGACGATCTACGTGGCCGAGTGGAATGTACGCCGGATTTTAAGGTGTTACCTTCGCAGAGGTCCCGGGTTCGAATCCGGGTGGGACAAATGTTTGTTTGTTGAATACGAACATTTATACATAAGTCATGAATGTAATTTTTTTTTAATGTAGGTATTTATTTATTTACTATATGTCTGTCTTTATAAATATACTTATTATACGTTTCAGTATATGTATCCTATCCGTTAATCTAAAATATCCCATAACACAAGTCGTACAGTGCTTACATTGGGTCTAGGCTAATTGGTGTTAGTGTTAGAAATATTTACTTATTTATTTGCGCAAGGACATTCAAAGCCACACCAGCGCTGACCTTGGATTTAATGGCCTGCGTAGACGAAAGGCTTTTATTGGTGGAGGACAAAAGTCACTGAATCGCGAATAAAATGTCCGCCGAGGACTTGTCACGGACTCAACGCAGACGATGTGTGAATATTAATTTGTTCCCAGAAAATTTAGAAAAGAGCACGGTAAGCAAGTGAGTATCCTCAGATTACGTTGTGTTGTTGTAATTTACATGAAGTTTAAGAATAAGAGAAGAAGTTTTAAAAAACATTCTTGAATCCATTTCTTTAAATCGGATCGTGCGCGCAACGCGGACTATATAGATTGCTGTATGCAAATCTATTGTTTTTGGGACCCCCGCGTAATTTTATCCTGTCCGCTCTCTTGGTGTCCTTGTACTTTAAATCCTTCGTGTGCGTTACTCGATGCAGTTATGAGCGATCTATTTCATCATTATCATCGACATCGTCTTTTTTAACCTTTTTTTAACTTATTTAAATATCTTTCGTTAGCTTTGCTAAGCTAGTTCGTTCCAATTACAATGTAAGTTGAGCTTAGCAAAGTGGAGTTATTTATCGGAAACAAAATAACAGATACAACAGGTAATCGTCAATTTTCCATAACGATGTGGACATTTATTTAAGATTGTCGCAAAAAAAAGCTGGTGCATTTCAGCACGCGGACTTAAAGTACAATGCAAGCACGGAAACTTTTTATGAGGCCCGCTGCAAAATAAGGGCAAGTAACAATGACAATTCCGCACGGTTATTATTAAATGTACTCTTTTTCAATAAGTATGAGGAAAGCAAGTAAAATAAATAAATAAGTATATAAATATTTGTTTGATGCAATGTTTACATGAGTAATTACATGAATACAAAATCAACCTTAATAGAATAATTTAAAAGCTTAAGTTATAACTTCTACTGCATTTTGCGTGTAGAATATGTGAATAAGCACTTAGTGTTATTTGTGAAAGAAAAAATAGTTAAATTATAAAGAACTATTTAATAATAAAAACAAATCTGCCATGGTATCAGGGCGGATATAAATACTTGTTACCTGTGCGACTTAGCGTGTCAAGCCGGCAAATCACGTTGTAGATATATTAGGCACGGTTGCGTTTCCATTTTATCGTAACGATGCGAATGCATAAATTAGCGAGGGGAGAGGCTGGTCTGAATTATAGTCGCATTTTTACGTAGAGGCGGTAGATTACGAGCATGCGCGAAGCACGTATACGCGGCTCACAAAAGAAATTGCAATATTATAACTAGAAAACTCGTGTGTAGGCTCAGCATACTCACCATGAAAATCCGGTATTTCGAGAAAGCCAAAGAATTGTTTTCAAATAGTGCCCAAGTGCCTCTTACACTACAAAAGTAAGAGACATGTATTTTACTCTTTTGCACTATTTTGGAACAATTTTTTGACATAATGAACTACAGAGATGTGGCTTAATAGATTTCTCATACAGAGGTGAGTATACTGGACGTAACCTACGCCCAGCATACTCACCAAACCATGTGTCTTTGCTTTTTAAGCTACAATTAATATAAATAAAGGTTCTTGAACAGGCATGTAAAAATAATATAAAGTTTAATTCAAAAAAGTGTTTATTTTTTGTTAACCTTGTTACATTTTTAGGGCACAAATTTGGAGAAATTTCCGATCCTATCTCATAATTATCTTAGCTTCTTCATCTCCTTCATCCTGCTTTATCTAAATTCTCTTTCAACCTTCTATCCCCCTACTGCTTCATTCTTTCCCCTGACAGTATTCTTAGCAGCTTCGGGTTGATAGTGGTTACTTTGACTCATTATTTAAAACCACCGAAACACACACAACAAGTAAATTTAAAATCAGATCATAACCCACTCGGCTGGATTCCAATCCCAACTGAGTTAAGAGCACTATAAGTGTGAAGCCTTCATCTACCCACAATTCACACTTTTACACTCCTTTATGTATATGAATTTGCCAGACCGTTATTTAAGATAATGCAGCGGTAATACGAGTGGGGCTTAAGTAGGCGTATTTCGGTGCATATTAACAAAAATAACATCGTGTAAACATTGCACAATATTGTCTAGATGTAAAAAAAAATAACGCAATACCAAAATAAAGAAAATGATTTCGATTCTTTGCATTCATATCGTACTGAAAAGAATTTTAAAAAACTATTCTCATAATAAAAAAAAGCCAACCTCTTATTTTACAGAAAAGTAAAAACGGACAGAAATTGGGGTTATTTTAATGTTCTTAATAAAAAAAACTTTATGTATAAATTGCGAAGGCAACAATTACTACCTCCTATTGCTAGCGCCCTAGGCCTAACGGCTAGTTTGCATATATGGACGGGCCAGCCCTGTGGCCGGCAAATGTGGCGTCATTGAGATGTGCCTATGAGAATGATGTTGATGCACTTTTTACTATAAACGCTTTTTCTTGGTAAGGCACATAAAATTCTTCACATCTTACTTCCACAGATGTTAAGTGGAAGCTGTTGCGGCACAAAACTGTTCTACTCGAGGTAACCTTACCTTGTCGGTATAAACTCTGTACCGTAACCCTGTGAAGCCCTTATTTACGTTAGGGTAACGCATCACGCATGCATCGCCAGCTGGGTGGAGTAGCCCATGGGACCGGCTCAATAGCCGTTCGGGATAAGGAGCTGGCCCTACCCACTATAAAACCTAACAGTGCTCCTTCATCTGCCGGAATGAGTTTAGTGGGATCCAAAGACTGCACGGCTGCCAGATTCCTCCTCCTCCTTGCGGTTGGGGGATGCCCAGAAGCACCGAGGCTTCCCCCCAGTCTCACTTGAAAGGAAAGAGACGCGCATGACGGCTTTTTCTACCTTAATCTAGCTAGCAAAGGGGTTCCACCTCACAGACTCTCTCCACTGTCTCCTTCTCGAGAATAGCTCCTCGTGGAACCTTGGAATATTACTCATAAACAGAAACACAGCACTAAACACTCTCAGTGTTATTTTACTGTATTTTAATGTAAGAATAAAGGAGTTTATTTTTGTTTCGTTGCAACTGAACAACCTTTTAGCCTTCATCTGAAAACAAGCGTCACGACCTTGCCGTAACAAAAGGAATAGAGCTGGATAATTTTACTTTGCACTTACAAATAATATGAAAATGTGGAAACCGAGTCAAGGTCTGTTTATTGCAATACCAACGGTATAGCGGTATAAATAGTCGTTAATAATGATATATGATTTTGAGAATCCTTGGATTATGCTTACCATGTTATTACTACTGCTGAGTAGGTATACATAAATTCCAACTAAATATAAAACTTTAACAATTACCTAATAAACAAAATAATGACGAAGTTAAGGGTGTAACTTTTTTATGTTAAAAGCGAGGCAAACAAGTAAGTGGCCAACATATCTTACAGACATTGGTATACAAAAAATATCACATGCGCCGTTGCCTACCAATGATCTGACCCAATCATCTATCTCGTACTTTGGTAAATAAACAAAGTAAGTAATAAAAGTAAAATCATTATGGGATAGGCTGGCAACATGTCAGTCTTGGAGTTTCTATTAGTATTTCAATTATTACCCATAAATAATAAGGAGTAGCTGGACGGATTAAACATTATTTTAAATACAACTATTTATCATAATTTTAGTAAATGAAAATAACATCGACCCTTCTATAAATTAAATAACAAAATAAATCACTAGGTTATATTGGCTTCATAAGTATTATATTAAATTAAAGTGTATACAAATTGCTTAGCAATTGGTCCGGGTATTCGAAACAAGCGTATTAGAATACAAATACGAATAAACCTAAATTTGACTCGAATTGAAGTCAGATAGAATTGTAAATTGCCAATCTAAAAGGTCCTTTTAAGCGGTAAAGGTGTCATTATGCGATCTAGAATACCGTTGTTTGTGAATCAAATATTTTCGGAATGAACCCTTTTAGGCAGTATTGGTACAATAGGAAAACAACCAAGGTTGGATTAAAGTCATTTATGAAATGTTTAAGCATCAAAATTTGATAAATTGTTTAGGCATAACTATTTATTGTTCAAATAGCATACGTG